AATAGCACTGTGATAAACATGGGAAAGTATATAACCTCCTTCAACATACTGATTTCATTTCTTTTGAATATGTACCCATTAATGGGATTGCTAGATTGGCACTTGTTATTATGGCTATGCAGAAAGTCAAGGAACATAGTATACACCCCCTCAGAGTGAGATTCTGTACATCTTTTCGCCTACCTTTTGGCTGTAGCTGTCATTAAGTGAGACTGGTTCTCTTGATCTGTGGACACTAACTTAATACACATATTCAATTTAGTAATTCTCAGTACCTAGTGAAGGGTCTCATAAGAAGGACTGGCTCAAGGCATACTTATTGAAGTAAGCTGTTCCTACTGAGGATTTGTTAGTTTCACTAAAAGAGTAGGCTCTTTTGAATATGGAGTTTAGTTAAATAAAAATCACGATTGCTCATTTGGAAATACTGTAAATGCAAAAGCAACTGAAAATTTTTGTAGGCACATTCTACAAACTGTTTCCAACAGTTTGCATTCATAAAAATCCGCTGTTTCTTTTCATTGGGATTAGCTTAAACGAAAAACAGATTTTCATATTCAAAAACAAAGACCTCTATACTGTAAGAACTATTAGGCAATACCTGGGCTGATAGAACTAAACTGCATCTCAATGGTTAAAAATGTTTAATCTACTGGGCTGGGGATGTGGCTCAAGCGGTAGCGCGCTCGCCTGGCGTGCGTGCGGCCCGGGTTCGATTCTCAGCACCACATACCAACAAAGATGTTGTGTCCGCCGAGAACTACAAAATAAATATTACAAAAAATCTCTCTCTCTCTCTCTCTCTCTCCCTCTCTCTTAAAAAATGTTTAATCTACTAATAAATTTGAGAGGTTTTCCATTACAAAAAAAGATTAATTTCCTTGCATTTCAATCATACTATTCAACATGGTCTTCATAATGACTGGAGTCAGAATTTCTATGTAACTTCTCATATTCAATAGTCATACTCTTAGGGAGGCTACACGACAAAGTTGATTGTTTGCTTTTGTTCAATATTTGGGGGAAGTGGCTAAAGATAGGGAAGACAAGTACACAGTATTAGCTATAATTAGAAAGTTTAAGAAAAAAATATTAAACAAGGACTACAAATCTCTGACCAACTAATCCCACTCTGAAAATCTGTACTACAGGAAAAATTCTCAATATGGAAAAATACAGTCACCTGTTGGTATCCAAGGCAGGTTGGCTCCAGGACCTCTCATGGATACCAAAATCTATCAATGTCCAAATCTCTAATATAAAATGGCATAGCATTTGCATATTAAACAACACACATTCTCCCATGTATTTTAAATCATTGCTTACATTGCCTAATACAATGTAAATGCTATGTAAAAAGTTGTTACTGGGGCTGAGGTTGTAGCTCAGTGGGAGTGCTTGCCTAGCATGTGTGAGGCACTGGGTTCGAGTCTTAAGAACCACATGTAAATAAATGAAATAAAGGTCCAGTGACAACTAAAAAAATATTTTTAAAAAAAGTTGCTATACTATTTTGTTCAGGGAATATTGATAAGAGGAAAAAAGTCTGTATATGTTCACAATTGAAGCGATTTTTCTCCCAATTTTTTTGATCAGTGGTTGGTTGAATTCATGGATGCAGAACTCAGGGACATGGAAAGCCAATTATATGTGTAAAAATGTTTTATATTATTTAAAATAGCAAAAATTTGGAGGCAGTCTAAATAACGAGCATATTAGAGAACATTTAAGTGAATTTTATTATGCCTTCCTAATGTAATACTGTACAGGCACTGGAAGAATAATTATGAAGATCATCCAGTGACAAGGCATGTTAGGTTGAAAAAATACAAAATTAACTTAATTATGATAAATATATTAAAAATATATATATCAGTAATGAATATATTTCAAAACATGTTGTATACCATAAATATATATAATTTGTGCTTGCCAATTACATGAAAATGAAGAAAAAGAGGAATGAAATATACCACATTGCTATCTGTAGTGTTAGGGAACTATTGATCATTTGCCTCCCCATTCTGTTTTCTAAATTTTTTTTTTGTAATATAGTTATGTGACTTTTCCTATCATAAAGTTAATATAATTTCAAAAGTTAGGTTGTAAATTGGTTGTGGATTTTGAGTAAGGGAAAACAAAGAAAAAAAAAAGGAGGGATGAATGACATAAAGACAGACTGGGTCACTGGCAGCAATTCAAACACAGGAAGCTCTTCAGTTACCCACCAACTGAACATTTACACCAGCCTACAGTTCTCCTTTTAAACAATGTTGCGATATTCTGAGATTCTTTTTTTCTTCTTCCCAGTTTTATATTCTGTACCACGTATGAAGCAGAAGACAAAGAGTCAATACCCAAGTATAGTTCCTTCCTTATTCTATAAGGTAAATAGACTGTATATTGAAAAAACATTTATATTTTATAAGGCAATTTTTAGTTATACTGTTAATGTCTACCAGTAGTATCAATCACATTTTCTAGATGACTAATGCTTTTGTTGGCATCTATAATGGAAGAAAATATTTGGATGCTAGAATGTGTGCTTCTGCTTTACATTTGTCAGCCAGCTAGCTGTCAGTGTGAAGAGATACAATCCTCTCTAAATTATTTTAGAGATGTTATTCAAAAGCAGGTTAAATAAATATTGGGACCTCATTAAGCAATTTTGTGACTGAATCTCTCTTTAATTTATATTGTCAGTAGATCTTCTACAAAATATAATCCCTCAATGAAGAGGGAAGACAGGATTCCCAAGACTGACTAGATAGAAGGAAAATGTGGGATGAGATTGCAAAATACTTCCTTCACCAGAGACTACGACATGTCTCTAGATGAGCTGATGTCTACATACCACTAGATGCATATCTCCTTCATTCCCCTCCTTTATACCCAGGAGCCCTTCCTCTTTATTTCTTGCTAAAATTCTTCAAGGACTACCTTCAAATGACATTTCCTGCATGAGGCAAACTTCTTCTAACTAGTATTGAGCTTTTCTGGCTGCATGTCACAGAACTACGAGATTTTAGAGCTGGAGATCTTAGAATCACTTAACTTAACATTCTCTCAGAAATCCAGAAAGAAGTGACTTTTCCCAAGGTGTGCTGATGATAGAGGTAAGCAATTTCAAGTGGCCACACAGTGGCCCAGTCACACACTGCTACGTATCACTAAGGTCTATGAAAGTCTTGTCTGCTCTCCCAGCTTGTAAGCTCTTTGAGGAGAAAAACAAGTTTTATTTACCTCCAATTTGCCTGGAAGTAAGCACAATGTGAGGTGATATGGACCTGCTCAGGTGGTTTAGTCAGAAGAGGTGCTAGTCCAAGGATAGTCATGGGTTTGATTAGTTAGAAACAGTGCTGCTGCTGTAGAAACCAAAAGCAAGTTTGTGCCCAGAATTTGCTGACATTATAAACTATACAACAAAGTAACCTAAAGCAGATAGGAATTAACATCTTTTAAAAGATGCAATAGGAAGAAATATTCCATGACATGAAGCAACTCTATTCTAATGAAAACATGGCAAGCTCTTCTAATCCCAAAGTCATTTGGGTGATGTGTGGTTTTTCCCCTGGACTGAATTACCATTAATAGTGAAATAAAAATAAACCTTCAATAGATCTTGTTTTCTTAAATGTATACCCACACACAATCCTTTTTAAACGTGCAAGTGTATGCCCATTAAAAAAATCAGAATGTTATGTGAAAAAACTGACAAAACTTCTAAGAATGTTTCAAAACTTTGGCCAATTTCTCTATCAAGGATGCTTTATTTCTGAAGGACACAACATTACAAATACAGTAGAACTTGGGAGATTTTAGCTTTTAGTTTGCTACTGTTCCACCCACCCACCTATGTATCCATCTTTTTCTCCATTTCTTCCTTCAACAAATATGAAGAACCTATTATGTGCCAGACATTTAGCTGTGCAGAGCAATGAACTAGGCAGATATGGCAATTATATTTCAGAGAGGAAGATAGACAATAAACAAAAGAAAACAAAGAAGTACAAACTGTGATAACACCATTAAGGAAATAAACAGGATGAGAGAGAGTAATGGGTAACAAGGTGGGAGTAGGAATTAGGTCTGACTAGAATGCATCACATATCCACCTATGTAGTATTAGGGAAATTAATGAACTTTTCTGATACTTAGATCTTTAACATGACAAACCAAAGTTGAATGGATGACATCTAAGTGGAAAGACCTTTGGATGTGAAGTAAGAAAACTTACGCTTGTGCCCCAGCCTTGACTGTCAAACCTCACCTGCAGTCTCCCTCTGAGACTGCAGGTGAGGTTTGACAATCAAGTATGAGAGCCTGTGGGAGCTGGAGTTACCTTTACACTGAGCCTCCACACTGATGAAAATTTGTTTATTTTAATTTTGAGACAGGTATGGTTATGTTGTGCAGGCAAGGTGTGAACTCCTGGACTTGAGCGATTCTCTTGTCTCAGCCTCCTGTGTCACTGACACTACAGCTGTTTGCCACCACACCTCACTCACACTTCTTTAAGATTTTACAACTCTTGGGGCTGGGGATGTGGCTCAAGCGGTAGCGCGCTCGCCTGGCAT